ACACACACACACACACACACACACACACACACACACACACACACACACACACACACAAATAAATGTAAAAGTGCAGTTGCAGGATAGAAACCAACATTCCGTACAATGTTTCTGCACTAAGTTGCTATGGTTTGTTTCACTTTGTTTAATTGTAATGTTCTGTAGTCATCACTTTATCTAACACTAAAGGATTATTGCATACACACACACACACACACACACACACACACGCGCGCACACACACACACTCCAACATAACACACACAGACATGGATTCTCACAGGTTATTAGTCACACCTCCCTCCTACAGTAACTGTTTTCACCGGCATGACTGTGTCTAGTTCAGTAATACCAACAAATATATCCACATGGAAAAGAAACAACACAAATGTTCCTGTCTTTGGTATAATAAATTTTAAATTTGTGAATTTTAAATGAAGTTGTCTGCGACTACTTTTTTCAAAGCATTTAGAAACATCACTTCATGTCAGGACATTTAATTTACATAAAAAAAACATGTTTTTACTTAAAGTGACCAGCAGATGGCAATCAATAGTAATGCTAAACTCAGCCCAGTTTGTAAAGTTTGCTGGGGKTTTTTTTCTCACTCAGAAGTTCAGCTTCTTTTTAGAACCTTTCAGCAGCCTGCACATTTTCTTGAACTACGCTGTTCTCAATGGCTTGTTTCTTGAACTTTTTCCTCACGCAGACGACGCTGACTACTGTGACCACCAGCATCACTCCCAGTACAGACAGAGAGGAGGCCAGCGCCAGAGTGGTTTTGTCTTGTGTGGACCCTTTGTGCTGACAGCTGTCCCCGTAGTACCACCAGTCATTGCCCACAACACATCTGGAGGGAAAAGAACAAGAATGAGAAAAACTACATTTAAATCACACAGGCTCATTTGCTGATGAGAAGAATTCAACAAAAGCAGACATGGTAAATAGAAAACTTCACAGCTTGTAGCAAAAACATTAATATTCATGTGGATTCCTGTGCACAACATTTGAAATTATTTGTGTGCAACATTAAAAATATAACGGCTTAAAATTAAGCTTTTGACATATTGATGACCTTATTTTAACTGGAGTCAAGTTTGTTGACCTAAACTGAGTGGCAGTAAAAGTTTGCTAGCTGATGGTGCGCAATAATGAGCTTATTTTTGTGCCAATATTCTTTATTTCATGGAAACATGTTTTGCATTCTTCACATATGATATCACCTGCAAGCTGCTTTGCCTTTGCTCTTGAAGCAGATGCCATCATTCTCACACCGCACATTCTGGCACGAGTCGGAGGGTGCCGTGGTTGTGGGAGGTTTTGTGGAAGGCACTGGTTGGGTTTTTGTCAAATGAGACACATCTAGGAGAACAGAGAAATATAAAGAACGAAACAGGAGCCAATTGGTTCAATAATTGGTCTGGTGAGTGCAACAAGGTGCATGCTTTCACAAACAGCTAAGATAAGGATTAGGTTTTCAAGCAAGCCTTAATCTGACTATCTTTTTTTGTAGATGTCTGTTGAATTTAAACTGTAATTAGTTACTTTTACCTTCCATGCTGAGGAGGAAGATGGCATCTCCTCCCTTTATAAAATCTCTGGTTTTGGCTCTGAGGTGGGTGAGATATGTCGCAGTCCCTGAACCAGGCCCACGGAAATACTTTGATCCATCAGTATCTGTGACCTCATTACCAATCTTGCGAGGATCATCCCAGAAAAATTTAGCAGAGTCTGGTAAGAAAAATGTAAAGTTTTATCATTTAAATTTAAATTAAAAGACTACAGTGTGTGTGTGTGTGTGTGTGTGTGTGTGTGTGTGTGTGTG